TAGCGCGACACGTGAGCGATACCTCGCGGGAAGACTTCCTATGAAAAACTAGCTCCACATTAAGTGTTACAAACGTGAAAAAACCACGATTGTTCAGAGCCTTTATACTTTGATGGGCTCGATGAGAGCTCGGCCATTGATGGGCTCGATGGGAAGGTGACTGATCCATGTTCAGGTGTTAGACAGGTAAAGAAAATTTCCGCCAATTTAACATTTGAAAGTTGAAAATATGCTTTTGATTGGCTGCAGATTTTAAATATAAAACTTTCACATTAAATTTCAAAACTATACCGTCTCCAAATGTTAAATTTAATGCAATGATTCGTGAAAATTCAGTTCACTGACATTGAAACAATGTAAATATACTTTCTTAGATTACAGAATGATTCATTTTTGTTTCAAAAATGTTGCAAAATGAATTGTTATGTTACTGCTTTTTACGTTGTATAGTACACGTACTCAATTTTAATTACACTACTCACCAAAATTACGTATTACTTAATAAATTCATTAACAAGTGTAATACGTAAGTTTGGAATTAATTTGCAGTACGACAACGTTACCGAGAATTAGTGGAGATGGGATGATAATTGAAAAGTATTAAAAAAAAATTTCCATATCAGCATGAGATCCTCCATGCTGATATGGAAAATCCAACATTGTCTGAAGCCCGGCGGTTATGTACACATAACAGGAAAAAGTATTGAAATCGTATCAAACTTGATCCTCCCTGTTAAGGACATTGATGCTTCGTGGGGCGTCATAGATTCATGGGGCACCAGGAAAATTTGAATGGTGGGGCCCTGAAGTAAACACTATATATGGGAATGTTGACTTCAAACATTTTTGTTCAGGGAATTTTGGGAATAATTTCCTGGTATCTTCGTTTGTTTTTTAACGCGACTTCTGCCAGTGCACCCTGCGACTGCACCACACCGGTAATCTAGGGTAATCAGATTTACATTTCGATATTCTCAGTATCGTACAGTAATGAGTTTATATCAGATTTGTTTGGGGTCCCCAGGCAATTGCCCTTTTTGTCCATAGGATAACGCGCTACTGTTGATGCTGTTAATTAAATTTTGATGGTTAAAGGCCGAAGGGGTGGGATATATATAGGGTTGTCACCCGTTATATCTCGAGTGGGGTCGGACTTAATGATTTTACACGTTATTAGCATTTATAATTTTTTGTATAACTCATCTCTACTTTCAAAATTAAGCCTTTTGTCATTTTATAATGATTAATAATACAAAAAGATTTTATAAAAATTTCGTAACATATGTTGCTACACACTGTTTTATTTATTATGATTAATAATATAAAAGTTATTTTTGAAATAAATTCTTAAAACAGCGGGAAAGTTACGCAATTCAGTAGACTTTGCTGGACTTTTTGTTTTAATATTCGCAGTTTCTCTGTCTTATAATATTTTCATTCTCTAAATACTTATACTTTTATTTTTTATCGCTTTATTAGAAATTATACTTTAAGATACTGATATGCTGTCTGCTAATGGAACCTAGCATAGACAACCGCAGAAAATTTTTCAAGAGGAGCAAAGCTTGGAGACAAATAGTTACATCAATAAAAGCTTTACTTAATATTTTTGTTTTTTTTTTTTAAGTAGATTATAAAATACAGTATTGCATCAAACCTGCCTGTGGTCAAGGGTGTAAGGTTACGTATCTTGATCACTTTTATGATTATTGTGGCAATTTTTACTCGATCCCAGATAGGGCAAGTGTATCGCTTGCCCTTTCTGCGAACACCCATGGACCCTAGTGTAATAAAACCAGACTCATAAATTAATTAATTACCTTTACAANGGTGTTTGCAGACGAATTATGGGTCGAAATTAAGATTGACGTCATCGAATTCTATACGTAGCCTTCTGTTTCGGACACCTGATCCACGAGGGCCTCCAATTGGGGCAGCAGATACCGCACTTTATGGGTTCCCAACTTCAGAGACTAAACTGTAGTCAAGTCACCGCCGTCATTCTTCACGTGGTCAGACCGGTTTACTCCTTTTATCAATTATTCATGCTCTTCAAGTATTCCAACGTGAGTAAAGTTGCTTTTTCTACCTTTCTAAAACGACTCTCGAACTGTCTAAAACGGAATCTCATTTCAGATCGTTATTAATCGTCACAAGGTGCTGGCCAGGTTCGGGTTGATGCACGTGATCGCCACCTGTCTGTGTTTCTGGTTCAACACTATCGTGGAAGACACGCACGAGTATTATCAACACAAACAAACGCTCAAGTATGGCTTAAAAATCAACGCAAGTCTGCTAGGTAAGTAAATAACCCGTTTCTAAACGTCATTTTTCCACTTCCGCTTTAACTCTACCCTCTTTTGCCACGCAGACATCTCCAATCAAGTGTTGTTAGAGAACACCACGGATCACGAAAAAACGATATTCTGCGCGGGAAAAACGGTGCTGTCCACCTGGGCCTTACAGGCTTCTCCGTATCTCTATCCTTTCACCATCGAATTCAACCTCCTGTTGGCCGGGGTGTGGATCATCATGTGGCAGAACATCGGACTGGAGACGTCGCGTGCCAAACCTCACCCCTTCCACGCCAAAGTTTCGACGGGGACCGACGGAGCCGAGGACGTCACATACCACAGCAATCTAGTCATCAGCGCCGACTGCCACGCCTCCAACAAGGGCTTATTCGCGGGCCTTTTCGTCCTCCTCATCACCATAGTGTCCGTCATCATTTTCTTCGTGTCCGCCTACAGCGAAGGATACAGGAGCACGGCGGTGGCCATCCACACCACCCAAGAAGTGGCACTGACCTCGCTGACCCTCCTGGCGGTGGTGGTGGCCTACCGGCAGGTGTCCAAACTGGATTTCAACCCCCATCCCATCACCTTCCTGGACGACCTCTTGCTGTTCCTTCCGGTTCCTTTCTTCTTCGTCAATTGCATTCTGTCCACGTTGGCGGAGTTTTCGGTCGGAAACTACCTGCGGACGTCCGTGCACCCTCTGATCATGCTGCAGGTTATCGTGCAGACCCCTTTAGTGGTGGACGGACTGAGGAGGTGCAGCAACACCCAGTCTCTGAGGTACAAGAAACCTGGCAGAGAAATCGTAACTTTCCTCATCATATGCAACCTGACCATGTGGATTGTCGGCACTTTCGAGATCAGGAGCGTCGAACCCTTTTACAGTCAGGGATCTTTCTACGGGGAATTACAATGGCTATTGATAGGTCACGCCACTCTACCCCTCATGCTCTTCTACAGGTTCCATTCTTCCGTCTGCCTGGTGGACATTTGGAAATCCGGATACGAAAAAGGGGAGTGAGCGTTATTTATAGAATACCCGAACGATTTTCTGAGAAAATCGTCGGCCCAAAGAAAGACATTTTGTATCTTAGTGTTTATATTTATATACCGTAGTTTTATAACCGGATGTACCGGTACCGGCTTCTACTTTATACACTTATTAATTTAAATCGCGTTTCGCGTACAGTACGTTGGTTACAATAAACAAGAATTAAAAACTACGCACGCTCCGTCTGGTGGTCGCTAGCGTCGACACATCCGTGACGTAATTCGACCACCAAACGAGACCATCGTTTTTCTAAGAAATGTTCGTAAATTTTAATTTTTATTTAAGAAAATTGGGCTAAGAGCCAATTCGATCAAGAAAAAAAAAAAAAAAAAAAAAAGGTCCAGAATACGAAAGCCGTTTGATATAAATGGCAGGGAAGGGTCTTCCTCCTTACTCCTACCTTCCCGAATTCTCGCTGGATCGTCGTTTCGTTCCCGTAAATTCGGCCGTATCCGCGACTCCTTCCACTAATAAATAAATGAAGATCGTTCGATTCGATTTGCCCGCTTCCTTCTAAAAACAAAAAGCAACACCCGAAGAAAAGA